TTTACATGACGCAAACTTTGTTCTTCAGAATATACAGTTTGTCAAAATATGTGTTTGCAAAGCAACAAATTTGTTTGTCACCCAAAATTATCCACATTGTTGTAAAAACAACCTATTTATAATATTGTAATCGTAATATAGTTATTTTATTAATGTGTTTGCAACCCTTTCTCTCTCACAATCTCTCTTTACCCCTCTTTATATAACTTAGGACGTAGGATCTATGCTACGACCAACAGAAAGATATATTTATACGCTTTATAGACTTCGAAAAAGCATTTGATAGAGTAAGACACGACCTACTATTAGAACATTTGCAAGAAGTCGGTTTAGATGGAAAAGACATCAAATTCTTAAAAAAAATTGTACTGGAACCAAAACGCCATTAGTTAGGATCGAAGGTTCCATATCCGCAGAAGTAGAAATTAGGAAGGGAGTTAGACAAGGATGTGTTCTGTCGCCTCTGCTGTTTAATCTTTACTCCGAGTTTCTATTTAAAGAAGCATTGGAGGATTCCAAGGATGGAGTCAATGTGAATGGCGTAAATATCAACAGTATCAGATACGCCGATGATACAGTGTTAATTGCGGATTCCGACTTAGGTCTACAACGACTCATCGGCAAGACCAACTCGACCTGTGAGCAATTTGGTATTAAAATAAACATTAAAAAAACCAAAGTGATGTCAATCCGAAAAAACCAAAACGTACCTCAACCTTGCACAATAAATGGGCACATTTTAGAACAGGTTAATAGATTTAAGTACCTGGGATGTTGGATCGATAGCAGCCTAAATCCTGATCTAAAAATAAGATCGAGAATAGAAGAGCCCAGAAAATCTTTTGAAAAAATAAAAAAACTGCTTTGTGATTCTCGAATAAAACTCGAAATTCGACTACGTTTATCAAAATGCTACGTCTGGTCGACTCTTCTATACGCAGTTGAAACGTGGACCCTTAAAACATCAACCGTAAATAAATTGGAGACCTTTGAAATGTGGATCTACCGGAAAATACTCAAAATTTCATGGACATCGCATACCTCAAACGAAGAAGTGCTGCAAAGAATAGGCAAGCAAAGAGAACGTTTTAACACAGTAAAAGTTAAAAAAACATCATACCTAGGCCACATACTGAGAAATAATAAGTACCAATATGTCCAACTTATAGTGAAAGGAAAAATCGAGGGAATGAGAGGCCTAGGAAGGAAAAGACTATCGTGGCTCAGAAACAAACTCAATTTTGAACAGCTAATAAGAACACCTGAAGATAGAGAAGAGTTTAAAATTGTAGTAGCCAACCTCCATTAAGGAGGGGGCACTTTAAGAAGAAGAAGAAGGACTTAGGACTAAGAACAGTGCAAATTTGCCTCTCGGCAAGTAAAAACGGGGTGTGTTGTCGATGCCGAAAAGGGCGTGCTGCGTGAGTGATAGATTCGCTTGTAAAACCGGTGTTTTATGGTAATCCGTATACCAGTTTTGTCTGTCTCAATACTCTGTATCTTTATTACTGACTCCTAGCACTGTAAAACTAATGAAACTTGTATCTCCTTTGAGTATTATCAGAATTGCGATAATTATCAATGTAGAATCAACCCTTAAGTTCATAATAAATAAATCGAAGAAAAAATACGTCTTATTAAGTATTTTATTGCTTCAGTAGTCCTTGCGTAATTTTGTGAAGCAATTAGGAGTTCAACATATCTCTCTAAAATGTGGAAAGTTTGGAAATGAATTTATCCTCTCCACCATTTTCTTTTCATTTTACTTTCATTACACATTTTTTTGGATTGGAATTTATAATGAAAACAAACAAGTAATGCTTGGGTTGTCCGTATATAGTTTATTTGTGTTCCATGTGCTGTCTCTTTTTTTATTTAGAAATATACAATCATATCAACCATGCAGGTTTATTAGTGGGGTAACGTACCCAAGAGTTCAATATGTTACAATATTACATATGTTAATATTCTTATGACAAGTAATAGATATTGCTACAGCTTCAAGATTAGTGCGATTGGTTCAGATTCTAAATCAGCTCTTGTAAAGATAGCTACTACGCCACTATCTTGCTAGGTTATTCTATGTCCCCCTCCCTTACGCAGACAGATAATGTCTCACACTGTTTCTCTAATTAATAAACCATAGTTTTCAATAAATATGTGACTGTAATTTACCTTAAAGATCTCTTTTAGCTAACGTTTACCTAATAGTATTTTTAGTTATGCGTAATGTCTTAGTTAGCAGTCGTCCATGATATAGACAAATCCTCAAGCTATAAAAGTTTTGATATGTCCAACGATTCTAAAACATTTCCGCAAATATTGCTTTTCTACAGATCTTTATTTTACAAATACTTATTTTTATTTTAACTAAAAACAGATTCCTGGTCTTGTGCATAATACAACATCAAATACTTTATTCGTATTTCGATCATTGGAATTTTCCAGAAAGAGTCAACCCTTTTTCGCCAATCTTAAAGCAAATACTTCAGAGCGGAGTCTTATTATCAAAGGGCAATTCGATATAATAACGGAGGTAATTTAACTCGTGCTTCGACAAAACCGTAACAGGATAGCCCATTTTGTGATAAAAGTCTATTAAAATGCAGACTAGGAAGGGACAAAGAAAGCGGTCCATTCGAATTACTTCTTTTTGGATGTTAAATTCTCCAAACGTCTCATTTAATATTTTTTTGTATAAAATTCTGTTTGAAATTGTTGTCCAGATGCTAAACTATTAGGAAAAAATGTAAAAATAAATTCTTGAAAATAGATGACCTAGTGGGAGATATATATATATATATATATATATATATATATATATATATATATATATATATATATATATATATATATATAATAGGATTAGTAGATACAGGGAAAATATTACTCATATGAATGTTTTAAACGGGGTGATGTACTTTGATGAAGCAAACAGTTCAAATCGAGATTCGGTCAATTTTAGGATAGCGACTTAACTGTCTTTTCCGTTTATTTCAAAAACCATTATTCAATCGTTCCTGAGTCATATTGATCCGCCAATTTCCGAGTAGATGATTAATACCAAAAGGTAGGTAACTATAAAAGCAACATTATATCAACAGATAAACCATCCTTTTGGCAACAGAATTAAAATCTCTCGATTTTATTAACTTTGGAATTTACAAGGATTTTTTTTAAATTGCGTGTTGGCAAACTGAAATTGTCCTCTAATCATTCTCCAAATCTAATTACAATCAGCACTGACATAATACAAAAAGAACCAACGCCAAGCCCAGACAACAAATACATGATCATCATCAATGGCGCTACAACTCTTCGTGAGTCTTTGCCGCGTTTACTATTGCCTTCGATGTTTGTCGGTCCTGTGCCAGTAATTTCCATTGTCGCACTCCCATCTTCTCTAGATCTTCTTTGACTGCGTCTTTCCACCTTTTTCTAGGCCTCCCTACAGATCTTCTCAAATCTGGCCTTTCCCAGAACACATTGTTTATAAGACGATTGTCGTTACTGAGTATCACATGTCCTGTTCATCTGAGTCTATTGGCCTTTATATTTCTAACTAGATTTTCTTTTCCGAATAAAGACTCTACCTCGTTATTGTATCTGCCCTTCCTTATTGTATTTGCCCTTTAACCACTTCGAAGTCGTGATCATTTATAGTAATGTTTTGCCTTATTCGTCGTCATTCTTGTTTTGAGACGACCATCTATTTTGTTTTGTCTTCATTTATTTTTAGACCCATGTTTAATGCAGCTTTTTCAAAGCTCGAGAAAATATCCTTAATTTCTAATGTTGATTGTGCTACTGCGTCTACTTCATCGGCAAAGGCGAGTATAATTTTTGCTCCGTGAGCAGTTATGTCTGGTTTAATTTTTGGATATATTTTTCGAATGACATATTCTAAGGCCAGGTTAAACAACAATGGGGACAACACACATTTGGGTTACCGCAGCTAGTTTCTTGAGTACGCCGAGCTCGATCATTGCCTTCTATAATGTTGCCCGATTAATTGAATCATAAGCCTGTTTGAAATCTATAAAAATCTGATGCACGTCGTGATTACAAGCCTTTTTCTCATTGTAAATATTTGATCAGTAGTCGATCTACCAGGCCTGAAACCACACTGGTAGTCACCAACTTGTATAAATTTTAAATTAAATAGGATGTTTATTAGAAAAAAAATATATCTATAATCCTCTAGATAATCGACTCAACTGGTCTGCTCATATCTCACACCTTAAGAAACAGCTATCAAGTTCATTATTTGTTTTTCGCCAACTAGCAAGGGTTGTCAACTTTGAAACATTAAAAATGACATATTTTTCTTTATTCCACTCTCACCTAAACCATGGTTTAATTATATGGGGAAATTCAACAAATGCACTTCAAATTTTTAGAATACAAAAGAAAGCTGTCAGGATTTTAGCAGGGGTTAGTTATCTAGAACACTGCCGACCTTTCTTTATCAAATTCAAAATTATGCCGCTACCTACTCTGTTGATATTTCAAGTTTTAACTCAAATTCACAGAAAACGTGCCCATTTAATAAAGCAGTCTGATATCCATGTTCACAATACGCGAAACTGTCACTACCTACGAACAAATCGCTGTAGATTAAGTCTTTCAGAAAAAAAAGACTTAATTATAACTATTACAATATTTTACCAAAAAGTATAAAAGAGCTAAGATGTAATAGTTTCGATAAAGTTATAAAAAAATATCTTTTAAAACATTGTTTTTACTGCTCAGAAGAATATATGACTCATTGCAGAACATCCACTGAACTGCTTACTTACCGTAACTTTGCCATAAATATTTTTCTGTTTAATATGTTTTCATGTTGGTATTATTTAATACTATGTATGTTTTTTTTTTGACTTGCTACAAACAATATTTGTATATGTTATATAGTTAAATAAATACTCTACTCTACTCTACTCTACTCTACTCTAATTGAGTGATTTATTTATTTATATATTATTTAAAATAAAAATTACCTTGATCTTTATCGTCATCGTCATCGGGCTCGGATATATTTTCATCGTCTTCATCTTCAACAGCGGATCTGGGAGACCGCGGCGAAGGAGGAACATCAGGACCATCTGCTTCACTCCCGGAATGGTCATTGTCTCCCAGCGAACCAGCACTACCACCACCGCTCTTTGAAAGGTTTAAAACTGGACTGTGCTCTGTTGGTGATACTGAAAATGGAAAATTGAAGTATTAAAGGTTACATATATGAATAATATTATTCATTTAAATAAACACAATACAATCAGTCAAAATAAGTATGCTGTTGTTATCGCTAACTTCCATTATTAGGGACAGCAACAGCAAGTAAACAGTATAAACAGATTATGATCTATTTATCACTTAAAAACATTTAATTTATAATAACATTAATAACTAATAACGAAAAGGATAGTTATATAATTGAAATCTAAAAAAATTAAGTGAAATATAAAGAGAATATTCCACTTTGTAATTATATTCCTCCTAAAATTAACTCGCAAACACGTCTGTCAGGTCGGTGTCCGTAAGAGGCGGCTAGGAGCATGTGCCAACGACATAAAAAGTTAACTATCACATTCGTGGATTTAATTAATGGTTATAAAAGTAGAATTCGACTCGCTGGACCCGGCTACACAAACCAATCTAGTCGGCAATAAATTACCAAGAGGGTCACAATTAAATACGCATATGCAGAAATTGAAACGAATAACCCGGACTTAGTCTCTGAATAAATCGGAGTGTACGGTCTTTCAGTTCAACGCTTGAAAGCATCAATCTGGATATGTGTGGATGAACCCTTTTGGATTTATTGCCTGTTATTTGGCTCAAAAAAACAAGAGTCTTGCAAATTGCAGGCCGTTAAAGTTGTATAAATTCGGTTTAAAAAGGATTTTTTAAATGGCCATAACTGAAAGGGAAGTGTTTACTTTTTTACGGTAAAATAAATCAAATAGGAACACCATAAACGAGTTTATATCTTAAGTTAGTATGCGAAATAAAATACACATTGTTTTTAATTTCTGCAAAATGTATTTGTTTCTTGTTATTCTTTATTCCTCTTCTTTATACCTAATTTTAAAATCACAGTTAAATTCATGGTTTTCTGTAATAAGATAATTGGTATAATAAGAATTTCAAGTTTTCCTGATATAATTTGTGCTGTGCTCAGTGATACGTTTTCTAAAATTTTTAGACCTATATACACTTTTTGACATGTCATGTTTTAGATACTCTATTGCTGGTGTTAAAGCCAGTAGCGAGAATTTCTGGAAAGAATTATGTCTAACCCAACGAACCACTAGCGTTCCAAAAAATACGTACGATTTACAATAGGTCAAATTGTTGAAAATAGGTATAAAATAGACACCTTATATTAGAAAATATATGTTTAGATATACAATTTTTGTATATTTGAATCAACACTAATTAGAATATTATTACTCATTAATAACGATTCGTTCATAAAACCGTTATTTATATAGTCCAGTCCTCAGAGATTTGATCGCACAACGTTTACTTGTTAAACACCTTTAAAAAAACTTTTTTTTCGGCAAAATACAAAAATTGCATACGCATAGTACTCTTCACCTTAACGGGGTTTTGATGTTTGTGGATTGGACACTCTGATCGAAAGATTTCGAATTTTTTCCGTCGATTTGATACAAATTTGAATTTGCGTGCGTAACTGACATTCAAAATCACCAGTCGCTTCAAGCGTTGTTTGTAAGAGAATGTTTCAATCTAGATAAAAAGTGTTAATCAAATTTTTTTCAAAATCATCCCGCCTTATTATATCAGCTACAATTTTTATTTGAAACATATCTTTCTATGGCGTACAGATTCTCGTTAAAACGATTTTTCCGTTACCCCCTACGAGGGGCGTTTTAGGAGCAAGCCATGGAGTAAAGTTGGTAAAGTTTTTGTCTTATCTTAGCAGAATTTTATATTATAATATTTAGTTTCATAATCAGATCCGTGTCGTCATTGTTAGAATCTTTTAAATAAATTTTTAATTCTTTAATAATTATATATATATATATATATATATATATATATATATATATATATATATATATATATATATATATATATATATATATATATATATAATACTTCTATTAGGCCTTGAAAAATGTTCGCACACTTTCCCTTAATTATTTACAGTTACTTTGGCAAATTCCTATTCCAGCAACAATTATTTTGCAGCTCCTAATTTAAAACTAATATTTTGTTTTGCAATTCTATTTTTATTTGCGCCAAAATCGTTTCTCTACGATTCAAGTCTTTATGATATGGTGGAAGTTTCTTCCGAATGGTGGAATCGAAGGACGCAGTGGAATTTTAGTAGAAAGCAGGCCTCTTGGTTGAAGAATATCAGGGAATGAGCTGAGCAACTCTTTAGAATAGCTCGAGACAGAGACAGTTTTGCCATGTTAATCGCCAACGTCAAGGGGACTTGATAGGACACGTTAAGAAGAAGGAAGTTTTTTAGGAGATATTCGTCCATATTCGTCTTGGTCCGAGTAGTTTCGTGTCAAACTAGTTTAGGAATTCTCTTTGCTGCCATTCTTTCTACATGTCCCAACCATTTGATCCTTTGCGACTTGACGAACCTGGTGATATTAGGTTCTTTATATAAAGCAATTTATTCATTGATTTTTCTTTTCTCCTACACATCTTCTGTCTTCCATCCTTCGAATACGTGTCTCAACATTTTTCTTTCCGAACTTTCTACAGTCCCCTCTTTCTGTTTCTTTAATGACAATGCCCCACAGGCACTTAATAGTTTAGGTCTAATTACTGTTTTATATATTCGGAGTTTTCCTTATCTAAAAACGTATAATGAATTTATTTGAACTCTTAAACCGCCTAATTTTTCATTCCCTTTCGCTATTCTAGCATCTGGCTTCCCTTCCGTCTTTCAGTTTTCAGCGAATACGACACCCGGGCCCTCCAATTCAAAATTGACCACCTTTTAAAAATATAACTTTTACCACTTACAGACCTTACACTAAAATCTTCTTCTTTTTTCAATTTCTTTTTGTCTTCTAATTTGGTTTTGTCTTCATTTAGCTCCAATCCGTACTTGATTTCTTCTTTAATATTTTTTTGCCACTCTTCTTTATTCGTTAGTGGTTCTTCGGTTCTTGATAAGACTGTTAAATCACCAGCAAATGCCATGCACTGGTGCTCATTGTTCATGATGGTTTCTTTAACCTTCATGCTGCATTTTTTGATTACAATTTCTATCACTGTTAAATAATGTACTGGATAAAGGATCTTCCTTTTACAACCTCAAATTGTTCTGAAATGTGACTTTGCAAGGCACAGGTAAACTTATTTGGCTTCATTTTTACTAGACTGATTTTTTTTTGGTATACTCATGTTTGGTATACAAATGTTTCATTGCTTGATCCATTTTGACTCTATCGAGTCTACTATATGCTTGTCTAAAATACACAAACAAAATATGCAGAGGAACTTTACCTTCCTAACAAGTTGTTTGTATCTTCTTTTATGAAAAGATTTGGTCTATAGTAGATCAGTCCTTTCTAAAGCCGGCCTGGTACTTTTGTAAGATTCTTTCACACTTCTTTTACTTCAGTTTGTCTTCTTTTTTATGCAGCATATATAAGCCCGATGTCAATCATTTGGCATTATTTATATTCCCTAATTTGCATTATTAGTTGATATCTCCATCTCTGCAGTTAATTTCCACCAAACTTGATCATTTCTATGCATATGACATTTTGCCCAGTTATTTTTCATTACTTGTATTGCTGTTGCCACCTTCTCGTCTGTGGACTACTTTTCAACTATTTTATCGTCTCCAACTGCCCACTTGATTATTGATTTACGCCCTACCTCACCACTGAATAACTCTTTTAAATGTTTTTCCACTGCATTATTATTTTTACCAGATCACTAATTAAATTTCCGTCTTTGCCTTTCATATAACTAGTGACGTTGGTAACCTTTTCCAATCTTCTTAACTTCTCAATAGAACAACCTCACCGTTTGGTTTTTGAATGTTTCTTCTATCTCTTTTAATTGTAACTTAAATTTCTTGTTTCTAAAACTAAACTTCTTGTTTCTTGCAATATCCATTACCTGATCTCTTTTTTATGTTTCCGCAGTACTATATTTCGTGGCACTGATCACCACAACATTTGAATCCATTTTTTGATATATTTTTGACTTTTAATTTTATTTAGTCATTTCTTCATTTTTTAAGCTGTGATCATCAGTGAGCTACAGAAAATAGCTGTCGCTGCTCATTTCCTTTAACAATTTTTGTGCCGCAGTTATAGAGGCAGGAACGTCAGAAAGTAAAAAATCCAACTCTCACCCAGGGGCAGAAGTTTTACTAGGAATTAAAAAAGTGAATACCCATATTTTACGTTTGTTACCAGAACAAGCATTACAATTATTGTAAACAAAATATTTTGCAAAATTATGACAAAATATAAAACAATAAGAGGATCTAATTGTTGTGACACTAAGAAAAAGCTCAGAAATCTAAAAAAAAACACAGATTTTATGAAAAATAGAATACTTACAATGTCTAGGACTGAGATCTCTAGGTTTCTGATCCAACGGTAAGGGTTTATCTGGGTCAATACGTTCTTCTCGTAGCCTGAAACAAAACATATCGTTTATATCATCTGTGAAATAAAATAGATAGATTTTATGCTAATGGTTATTCAAGATATTTATTAGGAATTTAACCTTCCATTGAAAAAATTTAATACCAAAGCTTAAGCCCAAGCTTAAACTCGAACTTCACCATTATTCTACACGTGTTTCCAGTTATTCAACTCTCATCAAGAAATGGTACTTTAAACTGAAATGAAATGCAATTTATTTGGCCCTGATAGTAGTAAGCTGGGATTTACGGTTCACTTAATTCGCTATCGAAGAGAAATCTCCTGAGTTTTGTTGCTAACATACTCAGGCATGTAATGGTACTATAATGGTTAAAAAGATTGCATTTTATTTCAGTTTGAGCTACCACAAGTGTTCCTGATGAGATTTGAATAACTGGAAACTTTTGTAAAACAATGAAGGAGTTCCAATTAAAAGAAGATGTAATGGTCTACTTTTATTTTAACGTAGAGTGCAAAAGATAGTGTTTTCAAGGATAAACTGTAGATGTATTGCCGGAAAAAAAGTTATTTCTGATGTCGTCCAATAGCTTGCTGCAAGGTTGGATGTGCGAATTTGCTATCGAAAAGAAGTCTACTGACTTCTTGCTGCTTCACCTTAATTTCTTATACCTAATTTTGATACTAGGATTGGTGTAGCACTTTTTCTATTGTTTTGTTGTTAGTATATTATTTAATTTACTAGAGCTACATTGGAAAACGTAAGATATACAAAAGCAGCAAAATATAGCTTTGATCACTTCCTACTGAGAGCATTGTTATCAAAAGAATTAACAAAAGAACATATAAAAATGACGGATAAAGAACGGATGCCAAAAATGCCATTATCAGATGTTCAATAGTACGAACTGGAAAGAGCTGAATCTGATGCAATTCGAAATTTAAAGGAATGAAATTGGGTATTTAAAAAAATGTCAATAGTTAATTTTATTTAGAAACTTGCACTTAGAAACTTAGAAATCATGCACATAAAAATATAAAACAAATAATAATATTATGGATAGTTTCTTTATAAGGCATCAAACTGTGCTCATCTATCTCATAGTAACAAATTATCGAATTTCATTTACTTCCCTATTTTTTCAGAATGTCGAATACCTAATAAGCCATTTGATTTCTTTATTCAATTTAACTGAGATCGGCTTCCCTATAGGGCTAATCAGCATTATCAAATCTCATGTTACAGACTTTCAGTCAAATTGGCCAGATATCCTAACCGGAAAGTTTGCATCGGATGACATTTTTGTACAGTTCGTTAAATATAAAATATAATTTTTGATAAACTTGTGCACGGAAATATTCGATTCACGGTAAATATACATACATCGCAAAAGTCTAGGGATATTTTAATTAATAGACTTATTTTGATTACCTGTAATCAATTTAAAAGAAGTAATACAAAATTTGTAGTTTAAATTGTTGTTTAGTATGTCAAAAACTATAAATTGCAAAAAAAATTATAGTAAATCACCCATGTTTCACATACCACCAAAAAATGTCAAAAATACGAAATATAAACTTAAAATAAAGTATGGCCACTACGTTGGTTTATTGCAGCTCTACATCTACTGTTCATGCTCCGAATCACATTGTTAACGTCTGCTTGAGGAAGTTGTGTCCATTGTTCTCTCAGAAGTACTTTTAATTGAAACTCATTGTAAAAATTGGCCATATGTGGAGTAATTCTTCGTTAGCGTATGTCCCATATATGCTCAATGGGATTCAAGTCCGGTGAAGGTCCGGGTCAGGAGAAGAAATATAATGCCGGTAGATTTTGTAGAGGAATTTGAATCCTGTGTTGGAGAATTTTCAGTATAAAAAGTTTGCAAAATTTGTAAGTAAAAACAAATTACTATTCCTTTAGCAACCCATAGCTAAGAAGAGTTTGGCAGCCAAAAAGAGATACAAACTAATCCAACTACCCATACAGCTGAAGTGTTCTACCCTTTCCAAAATTTTCTCATCTAATTTCAGTACCAAGTTTTCGATATTAATTTTTCCAATCACAATCCATTTTGTTTTCTTTGCATTGATTGTTAAACCCTTTTCAGTGCATTAGTTGTTTACAGCGATTAAGAAGGTTTAAAGATCTTATAGACTGTCTGCCATTATAGCGGTGTTATCTGCGTACCTGAGACATAAGGAACAGAGACCTTTTGACCACCATTAAAATAAGAAAGACAGCAAATTTGGAGCACATATTCAGAAATAATAAGTACTAGTTGTTCCAGCTGATTTTAAATGGTAAAATCGAAGGGTCTTGGTAGACGACAAAAGACGACTTGGCAGATTACCAGGAATACAAATAAGAGAATTAAATCACCTATGGAGCAGAGGATTGGGTAATAAATAAACGATAAAAGGTCCAAAATCACAGCAACTGAAATGGAGTTCATGAGAAGAAGCTGCAGAGTGACAAAAATAGACCGCATCAGAAATGAGGAGATAAAACGAAGAATGGCAGTAGAACAAGACATACTCAGCTACATCGAAGAAAAACGTTTAATTTGGTATGGACATGTGAGAAAAACAAATCATACAAGGTGGATAGCAAAGATTTCGGATTGGAGCCCAATAGGAAGGAGGAAAAGAGGTAGACCCCGAAGATCATGGAGGGATGAAGTGGACGAGGCCATGGAAAGACGATACCTTAGAGATGGAGAATGGCAGAACAGAAAGAACTGGAGACATTGGCTGAAAGAAGGAAGGCGGTGACAGCTGTAAAAATCCTTATATAGATAGGTAGACGACAAATATCATGGCTGAAAAAGATTCGCGACTAGATCAGGTTAAACGCGCAAAAGCTTTTAAGAAAATCAGAAACTAGAAACCAATTCGCAATGGTTATAGTCAACTTTCGGTAGTGGACGTGCATAAAATGCGCCAATTAACAAGATTTGGCTTTCTGTTTTTATGATATGTCAGATATTTTATTCATATATTACCTTAAAAAAGTAAGAACCATCAATATAGAACCAAACATTATATAGCATTATTGGTAACTTTGATGAAAAAAAAAAATGAAGAAAAATGCACACAATTATAGAAGAAAAGAGTAAATATACAAGAAAAAAGTGCTTATTAACGAATTCAATGCATTATGTAACAAGTATATTTTAGCGATGACAAAAAATTACAAGAAAGATACTTTGATAGTTTCTGCATTGCATCGTATTTTTTAAACTCACCAATGTAAGTATAAGAATGGAAACCTCAAAGGAATGCCGAAGTGAAATATATTTGGATGAAAATACAAACCGTTCTTTTATATACCGTTCTATAAAAGAGTATTGTATAACCAATTGTATTGGTGAGGTCCGGAACTTATTTGGTGAATTATTTACACGAAGACATTTCAATCAGTTTATAAACCATATCAATTGTTTGTATTTTTTCTTCTAATTGCAATTGTATATATTGCAACTGTTTTTAACAATTATCAGTAAAAAAATTTTGTTTAAAATCCTTTATAAAAGGTATATAAAAATGCCTCAAACGGGCTATCACAAACACATTGCAAAACGTTTTCGGATTAGACAATCCATCATCAGTGCAAACCTGAAAGTATATAACCACTTTAATTAAAAAGAACGTTAAATGAAAATGTTGACAAAGGTTAGAGCAAAATGTGGTTAATACTTACGGTTGTAGATGCTAGTAGCCACCAAAATATATGGGTAAAAACCCTTTAAATGTTATAAATTTGAAGTTGTTTTACATTATTAGTATTTCTAATTTGTGATGGTTAAGTTACCGTTGGATAGGTAACATGGCGGCGTATGACTCTACATGAGTAAAATGGTCCTGAGACGAAGTGTCTACGAGGGCCTATTGATAACAACTAATCAAAATGACATTGTTGTCAAGTTAGGACGGATGTTGTGTCAGAGCAGTCAGTGTAACTTACGGTAGTTGTCTAATATTGACAGATGTCAGCCTTATTTAAAATTGAAAAAGTTGAAATTATAATAATGTAACAATATCAACCATCAATATTGTAATCTGTATTGTAAATTAATCAGATAGGTATATTTGTAACATTGAAAATTGGTTTTTTAAAAATTAATGTAGGTCAACTAGAATTTATGAAATTTTGTAGGATTGATAGGCAACCAACTATACATGTGTAAGGATATATTTATTTTAAGCTAGAGATTTTGTTAAAAGGCCCTGTATGTTGTGAGACATTTGTTACCTAGAAAATGGTAAAAAGGCACATGTGGAAAGATGGGTCCTAAAAGATATATTATTGAGTATTGATGTAATGGGTGGAGGTGTGTTTAGATATGTTATTGAGCTGAAATGTAAATATGACAAGAATGTGATCATAATGTGGTGTTCATGTAGTACTCAACTTAAAACTTAAGTATGGAAGGCCCTCTATGTCAAAAAACTACATTTGGTACCTAGGAAAGATAAATAAAAAAGATTTTTAAGTTATAAGTAAGTGAACATGAATTACTGGTTATGTGTGTAAAGTAAAGATGGTAGGTTGTTTATGTGTGTGGGCAAGTATGCCAGACTGAAAGAAAATTGATGGCTGAAAGATGGTTAGGTGTGATATTGTTCCTACATTGCTCGAGTTATAACTCAAGAAAACAAAAGGCCCTATATGTCAAAAGGAACATTTGGTACCTAAGAAATATAAAAGTAAAAAGGATGAGTTATAAGTTAGAGTGTAGGTAGGTGAAAAGTTAATAGGCTTATGGAGTGTATTGTGACAATATGTGGAAATGTAAGAGTAGTTGTGTTTAAGGTGGATCTGTCAAGTTTACTAAAGATGTGTGATGTTTAAATGTTATTGTGAATATGAATGGGAAAACTACAAAAGACTGAAGACCACAGAGACCCGAAAACCAAACCCTGAGGGAAATTGGATGAGTGAAAAGAAGTTATAAATGATAATGAAAAACGCAGTATGAAAAGGTGAAGATATGTGATTGAGTGGGTGATGGTGTATATTAATGAAAATTGTTTTTGGAGAGAAAGTGGCATGAACTGCTCTGAAATTATATTGTTGAGAAGGAGCATGGAGAATATTGGGTATTAGGTCAGATTTGACGTTTGGATGCCTAGACAGAAGTGAGGAAAGAAGAGAAAGAAGTGAGGAGTTGGATATATTGAACAAAGTTTGAGGGGGCTAAGGATGATTAGTAGGTGATAAGAGAAGGATGAGAATTAAATGAGTCCACCAATTGACGGTGGAGCGGAAGAAAGTCTCGATTAAATGAAACATGGCGATTGACACAATTTGGACTTCTCTGTTTTTCTTTAATGATTTCTAGGTCTTCATATAGGTCTAATTTGAGAAAGTTTTTTTGTGGGATGTTGTGAATAAGTGAGACGTCTTCTGGGATATTGAGAGTGTGGTTGTGTTCTTTAAGGTGTTGAGAGAAAGTGGAAATATTTTCTCTTTTTGTGTGCTCTAAAGAGCGTGAAGACAATGATCTACATGTTCTTCCTATGTAGGTAGCATCACAATCAGAACATTTTAATCTATACACACCACTACGGTTCATATAGTTGATGGGGTCTTTGGAATTGGATATATACTGACCCAAGTTATTAGGTACTTTAAATGAAACATGAATATTTTCAACCGAACGTTTAATTAGATTTCTGATATCTCCAGAAAGACTCTCATGGTGTATGTATTTATTGGAACATCTGTTTTTGTAGTACCTTAATATTGGATGTTTTACGTCTTCCTAGAGTTCTAATTCGTAAGTCCAGATTAATGAGTATTTTCGATGTTCACTGATCTTACATGCGTAGACTTACTGGAGTTTATTATTATTCCGTGTTTCTCTAACCATATTAAAATAGGTAAAGATGATTTTGAAGTTTTAAAAATACAAATAAATTACTTTAGGATGCTGTAATGGGGTATATCAGCTTTCCTTTTTGTTTATTAAATAATTTAATATCAACTTTTATCAGAAAATAGAAAAAGGTAACTTATACAATAAAGTTTTATAATACAGACTGTAACTAGTATTCAAATCTTACAGTTCACAATTTATCGAAGGGCGCACGGTCCATTTCCTTGGTGTTAATCTTAAGACAATAATTTTCATAAAGTGGATGTACCTTCTAACAGACCCTTTTAATGTCAACCGATATTTCTTGGAATTCATGAGTCAAGATTCCATGAATGTCTAAAAGG